TAAAGAGAATTGTAAGACAGAGACAGAACTGAGAATTCCAGATAAGAAAGGAGAGATAACACCACTATCTCTTCAGCAGAGGCAATTAAGGGGTGCTGCAAATATATTGGAAATGCTGTCAGAGGACTGTGGAAAATATCCATGAAATTAAATACACTCATATATGCATACACACACACACACTCATGAAGACAAGAAAACAGATGTCACTGAAATAGATAAAACAACAAATGACAGAATAATGGCAGGTTTCTGCCCCATGTGTGCTGCCTGGCTGGGAAAAGATGTCAAAAATGCAATCTTTTAAAACCTAAATATAAGGACAGCCAAAATGATCTTGGAAAAACAAGCAAAAAACTGTTAGAAAATAAAAAACTGAAGTTAAATGATATATGTGGTCTTATTTTTTAAAAATCAAGATATGGAAAAAAAAGTAAACATGACTTTTCTATAGGATACTAAGAATCAAAAATCTCTTTATATGTTAAAAAAAAGCAACATGTTATGTGTTTACACATAAAATACATTATATGTTTTAAAAAAGGTAATTCTCCAGCAAGTCAGTTAGTATGAGTTTGTTCCATAAAGCCTGTACTAAATGGGCCTTTTGAAACAGATGAGGAAACAGGAATTGTGGGGGATGATGGCACTGGATTATATTGCCCCAACACTCAGTCTATTATGCCTACAGAAAGACGTTAAATAGGACCATTCAGATCAAGAATTCACCTCCTCCAGACCAGAGACACTGTTATTTCTTCTTCTCTTGCTTTAGAGCAATAAGCTAACCCAGAGTCCTCTTGGGAGAGTCCAAGCAAATGCACCGTGTTGCCAAGACTGTCTGGTCAGCACCATGGTGAGCACCGAGAGGTTTCCCATTTCCCACCAGCTGGAAGGCCCAGACACTGACTTCCAAACATTAAGGGAGGAAGTGTGTGAAGAAGGATTACCAAAACCTTAATCACAAGATCTGAGAAATCTCTGTTTTTGTACTCTTATCTCCCACATGTTCTTAGAAACCTAGTACCTCGTACAAATAGATGCGCAATAGATTTTTTTCTGAATATTGAATTGTTAAAGCAATAATCTTCCACTCTACAGAATGAAAGTTAACAATCTTACGGCACAGATGAATTTCCATCTTCTGTGGGAATATAGGAAAGGCTCAAATAAGTTCGATTTATTTAGAGCAAACAGAAAGCCTCAGGTTGGATTTCTAAAATATAGAAAGCACAACTTCAAGTAAGAAATATTGCAAGTCCTAGTCCATTTGATATTAGTATTAAAAAATTTTAAAGACAGTTAACCCAAATGAAAAAATTCCAGGTAAGTTTTCATAAGTAATCAGAAATTTTAAGTTGCCATTTTTGAGCAGAGAAAGACATTAATATTCAACAAAAAAGGGTATCAGGGGCCGGCCCAGTGGCATAGTGATTAAGTTCACGTGCTCCGCTTTTGCGGCCCGGGGTTCACAGGTTCAAACCCCGGGCACGGACCTACACACCACTCATCAAGCCATGCTGTGGGGGCATCCCACATACAAAGTAGGGGAAGACTGGCACAGATGTTAGCTCAGGAACAATTTTCCTCAAGCAAAAAGAGGAAGATTGGCAACAGATGTTAGCTCAGGGACAATCTTCCTCACCAAAAAAAAAAAAACAAAGGATATCAATCTACACAGAGAACATGTTCAAAAATTAATTTATGTAGTTATATACATGTAATGTGACACTGTCCTATTTTGAATAAAAAATTAGAACACTTTTGTCATGTTTCTATTTCAAGGATGCTGAATACAGTCCTAGTAGAGTTATGCCTGAGATAAGTATAATGCATTTTTTATCACCCTGAAAACATTCACTTCCTAAAAAAATAAAAAATACAGAGACGTAAAGAGTATCAGACAAGGTGACAGATAAACCATTATCCCTTCAAAAATCGAATTGCATTTTTGCTGACAAGGTAAAAGACTCACTGAAATACACACAAGGCGGTACACACTTAGAGAGGCAGGCTTTCTTCAGTGGCTGAGAAACATAAAACACACCAAAATTTCTCCCACTCCCCCAATGCACGCCCCTCAGAGGGATGTTCCAGAGAAAGAGCACGTCTGCCTTCAATGTCAGCTGGAAAGCCCTCAGAAGCAGATCCCCTGTTATGTGCTGAATTGTGTGCCCCCCAAAAATATGCTCCAGTCCTAAGCTGTGGCACTTGTGAATGTGACCTTATCTGGAAATAGGGTATTGGCAGATGTAATCAGGTTAAGATGAAGTTACTGGGGTGAGTCCTAATCCAGTGGCCGGTGTCCTTCTAGGACAAGGGAAATTTGGGCACAGAGACACATAGAGGGAAGACAGCCATGTGAAGATGGAAGCAGATGGTTACAGTGACGCTTCCACAAGCCAAGAAATGCCTGAGGCCACCAGAGCTGGAAGAGGCAAGAGACACCTCCCCTAGAGGCTTTGGAGGGAGCACAGCCCTGCCTACACCTTGATTTCAGACTTCTAGTCTCCAAAACTGCAAGAGAACAAATTTCTGTTGTTTTAAGCCACACAGTTTATGGCGCTTTGTTATGGCAGCCCTAGAAAACTAATACACTCCCTTAGTCATTAAGTTGCAGAGATGCAACAGAGGAGACAAGACAGGGTGCCAAGTGGATAAAATTTTTAGGCTCATGTGGGCCATTAATTATCCCTTAAAGGATAAACATTCAGAAATTTCCAAAAAGGTTCTTGCTCCTTGAGTGTCTGGTGTCTAATAAGGGCAGGTCTCTTGCCCAGATCCCCTTGAGAAAAAGACCACATTCTCAGGAGAAGTGCTCCTGTCCCCCAGTGGGAAGGAGGATATTAACATAACATATAAGGAGTTTAACACAGTTAAATAAATACACATCTTAAACTGGAGACTCTTATGTCATTTGTCAACACATCAGAGAGATGAAAACTTGAAATGGAGATAACTTGACATAGGGTAACCCATGATCCCAGGTTAAGAACAAATTATCTTCCTCCACATATAATCCTATGGCAGAATTAAAACGCTTCACCCAGTCGAAGCCTCAAGCTGCACTTATATTCCTAGACAAGGTGGAAAAACATGCACTGAAAATGGAGGCCCCCAACACATCCAGGAATCTAGTACGTTTATCAGTTTAAATAAGCATAGTCACTTCAGTTTTCAGAGGATTAGATGCACCAGCATGAAATTGTGCCATTATTAACATATACTAATGAAACATAAATTGTACTCCCTGGTATTTAGGAGAAAAAGTGTGCTCATTTAAAATCTTGCCTTAAGCCCAACAACGTAGCAGAAAGGATATTTTTAAACCAAAAATGTCTTTCATAAGCCTTGACAAGGATCATAAGTTAGATCAAAAACTGACAAAATATATTCTCAAAAAGAAGCTGCAATTGAATTGTGTAGAAGAAAAGAACTAAAATTCCAGGACCTCCTAGGCAAATTAGGAAAATTTTCACATATTTCAATACAACTGTCATCATCTACTAAATTTAGAAAACTATTGCAGTTTCACAAGTATGGATTATTCACAAATATATATAACTTTTTTTCTGTGATTTAATGAGCCCTGCTGGGTAAAGCTGTCATGTATAACTCAGGTTAATTTGGGGAAACCTGCTTTTTCCAGACGGCATCAAGGAGAGCAGACAGCTAACGTGAGACACGAAACTCAAAGTCAGATGGTTTTTATCTTAAGGTGAAGTGCAAGAGCTGTTAGCCTCTGAGTGCGCTCTGATCCATTTCCTAAACCAGCAACTACTGTGGGATCCTCCACACTACTCCTAAAACGCCATGTTTCTCTGTCAAAAAGCTCCCAGTGTTACCCTGAAAGTCTGCAACAGTCTGCAGCAAACCTGCTGAACCACCTTCCCTGCTGTAGACAAAGTAGGAAATAACAGCACATCCTACAGCTTTACCGCCTCAAACACATGGCGAATTTAGTGCCCCAAAGCTCACCTGTCTTCCAGATTAGTCTAAGAAACACGGCACTACAAATCTCTGGACATTTTGCACCTCCAGCTAGGAGCTGTTCACCTGCCCAAATGCTGATTAATTAAATGACCTTCCGTCATATTTCCAGTCTTCTTGTTTGTGGATCTGCAGCTGTGCCCCAAGTATCTTTTTCACGCTCAAAGACAATGTCTTGGAAAATATAATTTGGCATGAATTTCTCAGTCTTAATAGGTGAGAAGACTGCCTATCTCCAAACAGTGGGACATCCTAACCCAGAGATGTTACTAAAAGAGAATAACCCAGTATTAACAACCAGAGCAGTGTTAGTAAAATACAACCCACATTAAAATTTCCAGCCAAGAAAATCTGGTGGGGAAACTCAAGTTTTCCATTTAAACCTAATTCTCAGTCCAGCCTGCACAATAAAATCATCTAAAGCACTCTTTGAAAATGTTGATGCCACATCCCTCCCCATGCCGACTGAATCAGAATCCCTGGACAGGGACTCAAGTATCAGGGTTTTTTAAAAGCTCCCCAAGGTGATCCTACTGTTCAGTAGTTGAGAACCACTGATCTAGACCAGGGGCCAGCAAGCTTTTCTGGTAAAGGGCCACATCGTAAATATTTCAGGCTTTGTGGGCATTTAGTCTCTGTCACAACTACTCATCTCCGTTGCTCTGGCACAACAGTACCACAGACAATATGCAAACGAACAAGTGTGGCTGTGTTCCAATACAGCTTTGCTCAGGAACACTGAAATCTGAATTTTATATAATTTTAACATGTCACAAAACATTATTTTTCTTTTGATTTTTTTTCAATAATTTAAAAATGTAAAGACCATTCTTAGTTTGCAGGCCACACAAAAACAGATGGCAGGACAGATATGGCCGGGCCACAGTTTACTGACCCCTGATCTACACGCAGACTGAATACACTTTTCCTTCATCTTTCCCCAAAAACAACATTTGCTCAGGGACTCAGTCACTCAGTCCTAGAAAAGACCCCCTTCAAAGCATGGATACCTTCAGATTCCAGTAGGTCCAGGCCATAGGAGGCAGCCGTATTAACATGGCTAAAGGATGGCACAATGGTGCTTCTCTCAGAGGACACCTCAGAGTCAGGAAGCGCTGGGGAAGTGCTGGGTGCCTCCTCCATTAGTCCAGGGGGCGTCACTGGAGAGCCCAAAACCGGTGTGAACAACTCCTCATGTGGCCTTGTGACTGTGTCCATTAGGTCTGCCAAACACAAGAGACAGGATTTGACCCAAAGATGGTCATCATGGGAAATGTACACATATGCTTTTACTTTTTAAGGAAGAAATGATTGACGAGACCAACATCATACATATGGTAAGTGTGGCACTTAGACCAGCTCCCTGTTCCCATGTCACATCAACCCAGCTACCCAGGCAAAACACACTTTCTCAAATCAGAGCTTCGTTTTTAAATTTTAGTCTCCCATTTATTATACTGACAACATTATGGGTTTTTCAGGATTTTATATAATCTATTACCAAAGGTAGAAAATTTAATAAAAATTTATTAAAATATATGCCAAAGACTACGTTTAAAAATCAAGTCAAAGACTAAGAGCCTAGATCTGTGTCTGGTATATGCTCAATTTCGAAGCAGCCTAATTTAGCCCCAGGTATTCCTAAATCTAAAACTCTAGAATTATAGTATTTTCTAAGCATGGTTGATCATCAGAATCTCTTGAGGCAATTTTTTAAATGTTATTTTCATGCTATCCTCATATCCCAACTTACTGAATCAGAACCTCCTTGATGGTGAAGCCTGAGAAACTATTTTTAAAAGCTCTCACAATATGGATCCACAGACTCTCATATATATTGCTGTTGGGAGTATAAATTGGTACAACCACTTTGGAAAACAGTTAGGCATTGCCTCCTAAAGTTGGACATTCATATACTCTATGGCCTAGCTATTCAGTTCCTAGGTAAATACTCAAGAGAAACTCCTACACATGTACTATGGAGAACATGTAAAAGAATATTCATGGTAGCAATGTTGACAATAGCCAAACATGGAAATGACTCAAATGCAAATCACTAGAAGACACTGGATGAAGATCAAACTGTGATATATTTTGGGCCGGCCCCGTGGCTTGGCGGTTAAGTGCTCGTGCTCCGCTGCTGGCGGCCCGGGTTCGATCCCGGGCGCGCACCAACACACCGCTTCTCCGG